CAAGAGGTTAGACGTGTCTCCACCCTTCAACCTTTGAACCAGCTGGGACATCATCAGCTGTTCCTCTGATAACACTGTCCATTTCTCTGCTGGGTTCAATAATACATTGCAATGGGCACACAGAACCATACTCTTAGTTATGAAATATGTTAGGGAAGTTAATAGGTTACAATTCAGGTTCAGGAACATTCAGAATACAGTTCTTTGATCAGAACCGCCTCTTCTCTGCTATTTCCTCCAGCCCTCGGTCCCTCTGCCTGACCCAACTTTACTCCTCAAGTGTTACAATGCTCTTTCAACACTGCCAGTAAGTACCTAAAGGCACCCCACTCTACCAGCAAGCTTCTTGCCCAAAGGCATTCAGCTTTTTCACTCCATGGGCCGTGAAGACCAGCACTCTAGCTCATACAGATCTCTGTTATCTCTGCTGCTGTTTCTTGCTTTCTCTGTCTTTTGAATCAAGGAGGTTCCCAGTACAAGGACCCCAGTTCAAAGAATTCCTGGTTCTTATATTTTGATGCTCATGAGCTCTCCTTTTGCCTCTGGGATGGCTTATTTTTAAGCCTAGGGCAAGACTGACCAATCCCCCTTAGGGTTCCATATACCTTATTTACATGGCCCCGCCCTCACAAGGATGCCGTGTAATTTATTTATGTTACAGCAATCTATCTAGTTCCCTTAGCTGGACACAAGAAACTCACATTTGCATGGTCCTGTCGTGGTGTAGTGCTGTGGGTTAGTGAGCTGGACTGAAAGGTCAGTTTGAACCACAAGGTTGGTTGGTGGTTCAAGCCCACCAGCTCACCAGGGTCACTATGAGTCGGAAACAACTTGACAGTACTTAACAACTACAACAACAATCCAGTCATTTGGTGGGAGGTACAAAGACTATGACTAGAAGGGCCATGTTAAGTAATTCAGAACACCATGGGGATAATCAGAGAAGGCTTCACAGAAGCCATTTTATGGGCTGGGTTCATCAGGACAAGAAGGAAAAAGGGCATTCCAGGCAGAAAAGAATGTGCTTCGAGGTAGAAAAACAATCTGGTTTGCTTTGAAGGTTAAGAAAGTTGGTTCCATAGTCTCAGTCAATTGGCATAGCATAGTAATTCACAACAATCATGATCTGCATCCTAGTGAAGTGAAATCTGTCTGCAGTCTTAACAGCTTATGAGTGGCCATCAAAGACACAGCTGTTGGTCTGTACTCACCAGGAGCAAACAATGAGAATGTAACCAAAAGCTCAGAGAAGAAACAAGTCTACATAAACCATAACCTCATCTACCCTGAAACCAGAAAATAATGGTGTCTGGCCACCAACAATATTGGTCCCAGATAGAATGGGAGAAAAATATGGAATAGAACTCAAATTCTTACTAGGAAAAAAAAAAAGTCCAATAATCCGGAACAGTAAAGAAAGAAGACTCCTTGACACTGTCACTCTGAGACACACTTTAAACCAAGTCTATCCCCTGACATCAACTTTTATTGAAATAGCAGGGTGACACACAAAATAAATGATGTTCTCCATAAAATCAGTACCCTATTTTAAAACTATCAGTATGAGACCAAAAAGTCAACAATTACTTTAAAAATAGGACAAGATAAGGGGGAAGGGAAACTTTTGTTAAGTGCTGAGTTGGTTCCAACTCATAATGATTTATAGTAACCCTGTTTCTGAAAAGCAGCTGGTGGGTTTGAACCACTGACCTTGTGGTTAGCAGACAGGGAAACTAGAGTACTTGAAAGAGAACAAACAACACAAAGAGAAGGTTAACACATTGTTAATAAATGTAACTAATGTGACCAAAAAAATGTGGAGATTGTCAAATGGGAGTCTAACTTTCTATGTAAACTTTCACCAAAACCCCAATAACACTGCTGTTGTTGTTAGGTGCCATAGAGTCGGCACCGACTCATAGCAACCCATGCACAGCAGACTGAAACACTGCCCGATCCTGGGCCAACCTCACTACTGTTGTCACGCTTGAGCCCATTGATTGCCGCCACCTGGCCAATCCATCTCGTTGGAGGCCTTCCTCTTTTTCTCTGACCCTCCACCTTACCAAACATGATATCCTTCTCCAGCGACTGGTCCCTCCTGACAATGTGTCCGAAGTACCAATAACATTAGTAATAATAATAAAAGATTGGTCCCTCTTGAGGTGGGAGCAGGAGGTGAGGCATCCTTCTTTCAGGCTTGAGCTGTTTGCAGAGCTGACCTGACCTTACTCCTTGCCTAAATTCTGCCAGGTATACAGTGAAGTCGAACCTGACATGCAGAGCAAGTGACCCTCCATCAATAAACAGAGGTACAGAGAGGTTGTACAGCTTAGTAAATGTCACACAACACATCAGTGGTCATGTGTGGTCCTGAATCAGTACACTCATCTTTCTTCTATCTCTCTAGCTGCCTCTTCATGACCCCCTGTCCCACAGACTCCAACATTTTAGGCTGGGGCTGGGCGTGAGTGTGAGAAACAGAGCTATTTTAGGCCTCAGGAGGGCTGGGTGTTGCCTTGGAGTCCTGCCAAGGGGGTGGGGTGACTGTAGGAGGGTGATGTGGTGTAGTGTGGGGGTACACTGTACCCTCCTTCTTGCCAGGCAGTAATTACTCAGGGCTGCTGAGGAACTTAAGCAGAGAGACCCCCATGGACAGATGGGATGTCCTCCGCCCAAGTGCTCAATGCTGAGTTGCAGGATTTGGGGGTAAGTGCTCCTATCTGTCCTTGATATCCTCTTCTCCTGGACATTGTCTGGTTTCCTGATGGAGACCAGGACTGCCCATTCAGCACAGAAGCTGTGGGGCAATGTCTCAGGAGGTAGGGGATCAATGTCACACAGTAGAAGGCCCCCGCCTCTGCAAGGGTAAGGTCCTAAAGGGCAGGGCCAAAGAGTCTTTCCTCTTTTGAGATCACAGCTGCTTCCAGAGCTAAAGCTGACTACAGGCTTGGGGTTCTGAAGGGAAGGGGTTGGTCTCAGGCAATTTCAGGAATTCAGATACTGAACTCTGAGGGGCTAGAGACCCTGGGAGAGCTGGGAAAGTCCACCACACTGAGCTCTTATCAAGGTAAAAAAGGGATTTCCTTGGTCACCTTCCCGTTCAAAGCTGACTGCCTTGGGGTGTCAGTGCTGAGTGGACCCCTTCCGGTTCAGCTCTCCACTGATCACTCCCTGCCTCACCCCTACCTCACCCCGCTCCCCCCCCCCCCCCCCCCTCCAGCTGCTCTCTGGGCTGCCTCTCTGTCTGCTAGTTTTAACTTCTCCCTGCACTTTAATTAGGGGTTTCCAAGCAAGGAGGGCCTCCGGGGGAGCCTGAGGCCACAGAGCTTCCTTAAAGATCCAGCTGTGCTCACTGCACCTCCTCTGAGAGATGGCGGTGCCAAGGGGTTGGGTGGACCATTGAACGGACCATCGCTCTAGGGGTCCGATCTAGCTGGAGGCCAGACCTGCAGGTACTTTACTCTTTCAAAGGTCAAGGCTGTCTCATTGGCAGCTCTGCCTTTTTGGGATCCCAGAAGCCCAGGGCGCTGATCAGGAAAATAGGCTTAGCTGGGTCTGAGGGGCAGCACTGGCCAGACAAACATTGGTCAGGAATGGGTTTAGACAATCCTCAGACTGCCCCCTCTCCCCCGCCAAAAGCACAGTCGTTTGGTGCCTTTTCCTGTGTAGCAGCTCCTCTCACATGAACCTTCCAGACGGTTGTTGTTGTTAAGTGCCGTCGAGTCGGTTCCGACCCACAGCGACCCTGTATAGGAATCCTGAGTGGCTGGTGAATATGAACCGCTGACCTTGTGGTTCAAACCGACTTTGCAGTTCAGCGCATTAATCCACACCGCCATACCTGCTAAAAGTGCCAAGAGCACTCTGTTGCTTCGAGAATCCGCCGGGCCAAGACTCTTAACGTGGTGGAGCTGGGCTGGTGGACGCTGAGTTCTGTTCGGTCCCGGTAGTGGGGTCCTCTGAGGGATGGAATGTGACTCCACCTATACTGCGGCGGCCTGGTTGACCACTGCTTACCAGGAGGAGAACAGAAGGAAGGTGTTCCATTCACAGAACTCGGGCCCCCGCACGAGACAGCAGGGAATCGGACTGAAGGGTTCCGGTAGGCGGGGGAGAGGAGGGGACACTGGGTGGCCCGGAGAGCTCAACCGCGATGATCAGGGACCACTAGGGGCTCCCGAGAGTCCAGACCTTCCGGGAAGAGATTGTTGTTGTTGTTAAGTGCCGTCGAGTCGGTTCCGACCCATAGCGACCCTGAACAGGGTTTCCGATGCTATAAATCTTTACGGGAGCAGAAAGCCTCATCTTTCTCCCGCGGAGCAGCTGGTAGTTTCGAACTGCTGACCTTGTGGTTCACAGCCGGATTCGTAACCACAACACTACCAGAGCTCCTTATGGATGTAGTAGCTCAAAATACCAACCAAGAGGGAAGGAGTCTTCACATCAAGGATCAAACATATCCCCTCTGTACACCGGGTTGATAGGGATGGGCAACTTAGACAAATGGGAGGGCATGAAGTGGCTTCGTGACTTCGAGTCGGTTCCGACCCATAGCGACCCTGTACAGGGTTTCCGAGGGTGTAAATCCTTACGGGAGTAGAAAGCCTCAACTTTCTCCCGCGGAGCGGCCGCTGACCTTAAGGTTCGCGGCCCAATTTGTAACCACTACGCTACCAGAGCTCCTTGAGTGAGGTTAATTTCAGAGTGAGGAGTAAGGTAGACTCTCCACTGAATAGTTCTGATCTTGTCTAGACGGGTCTGGTGAAAGGAAATGGGGATAAGAGTCTTAAGATTCAATAGTAATTGTTATCATGACTAATTGAGATAGTCAAAACTGTAAAGGTAGAATATAGGGCCCACCATAACCTCACTTCTATCATATCTTCTAGGTCCCCGCCCAGAGAGTCTCCGCCCCTCGCTGGTCAATCGGCGATCGACTGCAATGCCTACGCGCTCCACGCTCCTCTAACGCTGTCTTTTTACTGCCCACGTGGGCAGGTTGGTGATGGCGGCGCTGGCAGTGTCTGAGGCGACGGAGTCCCGTGGCCGAAGCGGCCCTGGCAGAGGTGGGTGCTGCAGCGCTGCGGCCTCCAGATCTCCCGTTTCGGGGCGTCGCCCTCAAATCAAGGGCAGGACCAGCATCCTTTAACGGCGGCGGCGCCTTATCCTCCAGATCCCAAGTCCCCGCTGTCATTCGCTCTGCGTAGCAGGGGGATCTGGTCTTATTTTTCAACTCCGGGACTGGATCGGGAGCAGCACATCCTGGAAGTTTGTAGTCCTCAAGTCTGCCTTGTCTCCTGCATTAGCGGACAGACAGACTCATGAAGAGTCACGGATAAAACGGACCTGATGCCACCAGGCCTGGTGCAGCGGTCATCCCACAGTGACCCCTTTCAGGGAAGAGGCATATAGTTTAATTCATCAGGCATTTTCTGAGCGCTGATTGAATGCCAGGCCTGTGCTAAATGCAGGGATTAGAATACTGCTCTTGTCCGCAGGGATCTCAGTCTATCGGGATTACAGATGTAAACAAATGTTGACAGGCACACCATAAAGGAGGCGGCACCAATCCTCAATTCCACTAAGACCAAGGGACTTGTTGAGCTGCTAAGGCTGTTCTGTGAGACTGGACTGGTTGTCCCAAGGCCTATGAAACAAGCGGACAAAAACCTTAGCAGTGGTAATATGCAGTGCGAGCCTTCAGCCCTATCCCACCCCCACCTCCGTCCCCCACCCCCCCCACACACACATTCACTCTGGATGAAAGCTCTGGGCTTCCAGGACAAACTCTCATTGTGAGGGACCCTAGCACAGATTGTAACACATAGTACAGGCTCAATAAATATTCTTTGAATGAATTAAAGTCTTGACTTCTCACATTCACAAACTGTCTAGCTCATAAAAAAAAAAAAAAAAATATGGGGGTTGCACTGAACTGAATTTAGGGGAGTAGGACGAGTCCAGTTTAAAGGTTGCAGTCTTGCTTTAGACAGTTGTAATTTGCATGTGTCTTGACCCCACTAGTCTGTAGCCCCTAAAGGATGAGTTAACTTTTCTGTTCTTACCTGTTTGCCCATAATCCTGTCTAGAGTTTGTTTTCTTCTATCCTTCTGGGGTATAGGGATGGAGCTGCTGAGGGAAGGCAATGGAACTAGGAAATTTATTAGCTTAATTAGGAGCCCTGGTGTGCTGCTGTAGGATAAAATGGACTGCTAACCACAAGGTTGGCTGTTCAAACCCACCAGCTGCACTGTACAGGGTGGCTATGAGTTGGAACTGACTTGATGGCACTTAACAACTAGATAAATATATTTTTTAAATTTCCATTTTAAATGAGGAAAGGGAAGAGCTAAACAATGAACTGGTGTGGACATGGTCAGTGGAACATTAAGGAGGACAGTTTTTAAAATAGGTAGTTCTAATAATTTCCCTGTAGACCTCATGTCTGAGACCTCAAGATCAGGGTGAGGGAGGAGGGACATTTTCCCAGACTTGTTGAGCTGACTAGGCTCTTGAGTTTTCCACTGGTTATTCTTATTAAAAGCAGTTGAGTGGAACCTGGCTCTGTGGCCCTCAGTTCAGTCCCCTGGTGTCATCTCTACGTTTCTTAAAGGAGTGGGCCTAAAATCTTTGAATTCCAATAATCTTGTTATTGTTAAGTGCCATTGAGTCGATTCTGACTCAGAATAACTCTGTATAGGATTTCCAAGGAACAGCTGATGGGTTTGAACTACCAACTTTGGGGTTAATAGTCCAGTGCTTATCCTACATCACCATACCAGGACTCCTCTATTAATCTTGCAACACAGAAATTAATTATGCAAATTCCTTCCTGGCTTCATAGGGCCTCAAGATGAATCAGTGAGGAAGAAGACTGTGCAAACCCTGTTAGGATCTGGGATGTGGGCCTTAACCCTTGATGGAGTTAACAGTTTAGTTGAGTCGGCTTGTGGTCTAGGCCAGATACTAACTCAGACCTTGTATTCATCCTAGGTCGAGCTCCTCGGGGCCGATTAGCAAATCAGATCCCCCCTGACATCCTGAACAACCCCCAGCTTCAGGCAGCCATCCAGGTATTGCCTTCCAACTACAACTTTGAGATCCCCAAGACCATCTGGAGGATCCAACAGGCCCGGGCCAAGAAGGGTGAGCCCCAAAACTTTGAGCTGGAATGGGTGTGAGGAGGTTGCCTTGTCCAGCCAGGGGACAGTGTCCCATCCCAGCCTCCTTCCAGCCCTCTGTTTCTCTGGTCTCTGTTCTGTCTTGCAGTGGCCTTACAAATGCCTGAAGGCCTCCTCCTCTTTGCCTGTACCATGGTGGATATTTTGGAAAGGTAAGGCAGGTTGCTGGCCCTGGAGGGGAAGCTGGACCAAGACCCTCTCTACTTTCACAGCTCTGTCTGTTGGTATCCTTTTAGACTTCTGTGTATTCTCCACCCACCAGCCCCCAACCACTCACACACACACACATACACACTCTCACACACACACATACACACTCACACACACACGAACTCCCAGCCCTGATGAAATCCTACTGGTCCAGAGAAACTACTTCTTCCCCAAAAAAATTTGGAATAGAGAAAGAGATCAATTTCAATGTCTTTCAACCTGTGCTTAGATCAGGTGATGGGGCCTGGCGAGAAACCTAAGAATCCTCAGAATAGACCCTGGGACAGGCTAACTGGACAGCATAAAGTCTGGCTGGGGGCATCTTTTTCTTGGGTACATTCAGGGCAAAGATGGTTAGGCTGGAGAAGATGATACTAGAAGGGGCTCAGTTCCTCCACTCCTTGTGTGAAGTTTCTTCAATACAATGAGCCATCCTTGGGGAGGGGGGACGTGACTGCTCAGCCATCTGGAACTATCACAGAAAAGAGGGGGGGGATGAAGAAAGGGAGGTCATCTAGTGATGGGAACCTCCCACTTCCCTGATGCCTCCATTCCTCCACCCTGCTCCCCATCCTGCGGCTGCCATAGACTCACATTCCTGCTCCCACCCTCTTGCTCCTTGGGGATGCTCTCTGGGGCTCGGTCCAATTTGCATACATTTTAATCTATAAAAAATTAAGTGCTCTGACTGACTCAGAAGCCTGGGCTGCATTCTAAGGAGCTGAATAATCTGCTTCTGTGCAATGTGCTGGCCTGAATTGGGGAAGGGGGTGGAGGAGGGGGGCTGACTGCTAGTAGCTCCACTCCCCCATCACAGCCCAGAATGGACCTTGGTCACTGAGCCAGGCCCAGGGAGTGAGTCTGTCTCAGGGTCTAGCTGCTCCACTCCTTGGCAAGTTAGAGGAGCTAGGGCGTGTGGGGTCTTCCCTGTCCACCCCCAACCCCCAGTGATTCAGGCCTGGCAGCAGATCCCATGGTAGTGTGCTGGCCAGAGCCTACTCTTCCTGATGCACGAGGCAGGTGGGCGGTGCCATGTGCTGTGTGGGCGCGGTGTATGGGTCCTCATCCTGGAAATTGAGGGCCCTGCCTAATGGTGGGGAGGTGGCAGGGGGTCCAGGCGGGAGGGAAGGTTGTATATGCCCACACATCCATTCCCTAACAGACCTCAGTGCTAGAATGTGGGAGTAGGTGTCTGTATGTGTGCCCAGGCGTGGGCTCATGGCTGTAGGTGGGATGAGTGCAGGTAGCTACAGACCCTGTTGGTCTGTGTTTGACTCTTTGCGCCCTGGTCAAGGAGTAGGGGCCCTCTTTCAGTCTGAGTCTCGGCACAGGAACCAGGGTGTTACAGAGACCAGACTTGTGCAGCTTCAGTTCCAGGAACGGCTGCCAGAACTGAGAGAGGTGGCAGCTGGGCCCCTCCCACTCTTTGCTGGCAGAAGTGGCAGCTGGCAACCTGAGGAACTGAGAGAGTTAGGGAGAGAGGAGCTGGTCCCTGAGACCTTCCACAAATCTCTCCCACTTCCTTATGTTGGTCCCGCCTCCCCCTGCTCCAGGTACACAGGGGCTGAAGTGATGGTGATGGGTGATGTGACCTATGGGGCTTGCTGCGTGGATGACTTTACTGCAAGAGCCCTGGGAGCGGACTTCCTGGTGCACTATGGCCACAGCTGCCTGGGTATGGTGGGCCAGGCTCCTAACCAGGCAGGGTGGGCAGGGGGCAGCGCTGTACACCAACCTCCCTTGCCATGTTTGCCTGCCCTGTTTCCAGGCACAAGATCCCTCCTGATTTCTGGGATGGCCTGGGTCTTCCTGCTCTGCAGGTGGATCATTCCTTTGGATTTGGTTGCCTTGGAAACCATGCTGCTGCCCCAGATGCGGGTGTTCGCAAGGCAATTGGTGGTAGAGCTGGCTGGGCCCCTAGCCGACTGACAGAGAAGCCTGACTGAGAAGGAACTCCTAGGGGACCTATAACATTACCCGCCACCCCCCCAGCCATCCTCCTTCCCCTGGGTTGTGAAGGACTATCAGTGCCATTAGTCTTGGCTTCTTAGGCCCCTTGCTTCTTCTGAGCAGAGGCTCCTGAATTCTCCTCCCAGTTCCCATGGACACCTCAGACCAAGACTTCAGAGTACTCTATGTGTTTGTGGACATCCGGATAGACATCACCCACCTGTTGGACTCGATCCGTCTTACCTTTTCTCCAGCCAGTGCCCTTGCCCTGGTCAGCACCATTCAGTTTGTGTCAACCTTGCAGGTGAGTGATGTGAAGATACCCAGCATTCCATGGGCAGACAGTGGTGATCAGTCTCTGCCTATTCCTAGATCCCCAAACCAGCCTGACTCTCCATCCTCAGCCACTTGCTTCCCTTCCCTCATTTCCCTACAGGCAGCTGCCCAAGAGCTGAAAACTGAGTACCGTGTGACTGTCCCACAGTGCAAGCCCCTGTCCCCTGGGGAAATTCTGGGTTGTACATCCCCCCAACTGCCTGAAGAAGTAGAGGCTATTGTGTAAGAAATGGGGGCTGCTCTTGGGAGCATAAGGAAAGAACCCTGAAGGGTGGGGCTCCTCAAGGAAGGGAAACTGAGTCTAATGCTCTTCAGCCATCTGCCCATTACAAATGAGGGGCAACATTCCCGTTTCCTCTCTTTCTCACCTGGGCTGTGTTTAGGGTGGGGCCAGGAATTGGAGGGCTTGATGGGGTGGAGATGAGGGTAGACTAGAAATGGTGGGGCTATAATTGGAGAAGATGGATGGGCACGCCCAGGCTGCAGCCCCATTAATTTAACATCCGGACAGCTAAGAAGCAGAAGCAGCGTGTCTCCTGCCACCTAATTATTTTAGGTAATGGAAATGCTTAATGTTGTGTGAATGCAGCCAGCTCAGAGCCGACAGCTCCCCCAGCTGGGACTGGGGAGGGGAGGCCTGTTCCCAGCTAATGGCAGGGAGGGAGGGGCACTCCCTGGCTCAACCCCATCTCCGGGGCTTTGGAGGCTGGTCCCACAGGCCTGGCTGCATCCACACAGGACACTCTGTCCCCCAGCCCAGCGCTGGCAGCCTTCTCCCTGAGGAGCAGTCCTGTGTTCATGCCTACTTGGTATCAGCTTGGAGATGCTATCCTTGGGGGCTTTAAGATGTCTGGTGTAGGGAGGACCACCCTGAGGGTTGGCCATCATCATAAGATGAGATCTCCAAGAAGGAGAAAAAGAGCTGCCACGAGTGGATTATCTTCTATGCCGTGGACTCTTTAGGGCCCGAGGAGGTACTGTGAGGGACAGGATCTTCTAGAGCATGCTTGACATGACATGGTGATTAAGCCTAGAGTCAGACCCGAATTCAAGTCTCAGATCCACTGCTTAGTAGCATGGTTACTTTGGGCACATTTTTTTACATTCTTGAACTTCATTTGTATCTTTTGTAAGATGAAAGCAAGTATGGATATCTTGGAGAATTTTTTGGTAGGACTGAGTGAAGCCATGCACATCAGATACTTGTTCAGGCCTGGTACCCAGAAGGCACACACCCAGTGAAATGTAGCTATTGTTGTAATAACAGGACCCAGTAACTAGTTGGGGTAGAGCGTTGGCAGTGCATATCCTGCATCCTCATTTACAGCTCACTGTGAACACTACTTCCCCCATCTGTATTGTGCTAAATGGAACACAAATCTGCTCCACCACCAATCAAATCAGGATCTCTACAGCCTCAAGAGGTCTTACTGTGGCCTTCACTGCCTCTTTACTCTTCTCTCAGAAGGTCAGGACAAGAAATTCTTTAATTCTGCATTATATTCAGAGGCACCTTACAGTCATTCAGTTTACACTTTTATTTTACATTTGGGTAAATGTAAAACCCCAAGAGGTGAAATGATGACTTGGCCTGATTCACACATATGAGGGGGGGGCCTCAAAAATTTTGTGGAAATTGTCCCTTATCTTTTTAGTCAATTTTTCTATGAACTCAAAGCCCCCTTCTATAATCAGCCGCACAACCAACTTAGAACTCAGTCCAGGGTGGTGAGGGCCTCCACTGTCCCACAATGCATTTATGGCCTCCTTTCTACCACCTTCAGGTATCTCGGAGATGGACGCTTCCATCTGGAGTCTGTCATGATTGCCAACCCCAAGATCCCTGCTTACCGGTACGGGCTAGGTTAAGCTAACCAGCCGGGATGGGTTGGGATGCCCTGCCACTGCTGCCCTCAATTGGCAGAAACTTCCTTACGACCTGGTCCCTCAACAGCACTTGGCCCTAAGGATCTGGGCCTCAGACCAATAACAGCAGCCCACCCACTGAAATTCTAAAGCTCTCCTTGACTCTTGCCTGCCCCAGCTATGTGATTGAGCTTCCCGACTCCGGCCTCTGTCCTCAAGTTACCTGCAGCTGCAGAGTCAGAGAATAACTGGCACCTGAAGGCTCAAAAACCCAAGGAGCTGAGTCAGGGAGCCATGTATTTAAAAGAGGAGTTTCATGGGTGGCTGTCACGGTGACCCAGCCAGGTTCTTCTTTTCCAGGTATGACCCATACAGCAAAGTCCTGTCCAGAGAACACTATGACCACCAGCGCATGCAAGCCACCCGCCAAGAAGCCATAGCTACTGCCCGCTCAGCGAAATCATGGGGTCTCATCCTTGGTACCTTGGGGCGCCAGGGCAGCCTCAAGATCCTAGAGGTTAGGGGGTTCTGGATGGTCTTGGGAGTGACTGACTAAAAACCCACCTGGGAACATCAGTAGGCCAAGGAGACTCCGTTTGATCACAGTGACCCCAGCTCTGTCCTCATCTAACAGCACCTGGAATCTCGGCTCCGAGCCTTAGGACTTCCCTTCGTGAGGCTGCTGCTCTCAGAGATCTTTCCCAGCAAGCTTAACCTGCTTCCGGACGTGGATGTGTGAGTGTCCCATCTTACCTATGCAGCTGTGCATCTGACTAAAGAGGCTTAGAAACTGGGTCCAGCCCTGTACGCATAGACTAGAGTCAGTGTGAATTGCTTCCACGGTCATGAAGTCTGAATGTTTACTAAGTGCTTGCTCAGCAAGGGGTTACTTCTAACTGTAGGTCACTCCTGGCTTGTCTGACTCGACACCTGAGAGCTAATGGCAGCATTAGTTCTGTGTGAGGATAAGATGAGGGGTGACTGGCACTAAATTTGGTTCTGGGGGTACTATCACAAAGGAGTTGCCGAGGTCCTGCCCTTAGAAAACTCAGTCAGTGAAGGAATTGGAAAACAAGCAGTAGCAATATAAAAACTTAATGTTCACTGCCATCGAGTTGATTCTGACTCATAATTACACTATATAAGGTTTCTGAGACTGTAAATCTTTATAGGAACCGACAGCCTCATTTTTCTTCCATGGAATGGCTGATAGATTTGAACTTACAGTCTTACCGTTAGCTGTCCAACACCTAACCCACAGTGCCACCAGGGCTCCTTAGTAGCAATATTGTTGTTGTTAAGTGCCATCGAGTCGATTCCAACCCGTAGCAACCCAGTATAGGGTTTCCAAGGAGCAGCTGGTGAGCTTGAACCGCTGACCATGCAGTTCAAATGGCTTTGCAGTCTGGCGCATTAACCCACAGCGCCACAGCAATATAGTGGAAGTGTTATTACTCTAAACAGCAGTAGGTAACAGCCTTTGCTTTAGTAAGCATTCATAGGGTGTGTTGGGGACACAGTCATGTTTAGTATGTCCTCCTATTTAGGTGAGGCTCCCAACTAGAGTCTTTTGTGCTTTCGTTCCCAGGTGGGTGCAGGTAGCATGTCCACGCCTCTCCATTGACTGGGGCACAGCCTTTCCCAAGCCGCTGTTGACACCTTATGAGGTAAATTTTGAAAAATTCAGGAGAGTGAACTTTGCACCTGGTTCTGTGAAAGGCGGGCCCAGAGTGAAGTGGGTTGGCAGGCAGCACTTGCTTAAATGCATAGGCTCTGAAGTCTGTCTTGTATCCCAGCTAGGCCACTTCCTGTGTGGCCTTGGGCAAGTCCTTTAAACTCTCTGAGCCTCACATTTCCTTTCTGTAATATGGGGAAAACAAGACCTTCGTAAAGCTGTTGTTGTAAAGTGCATCGAGTAGGTTCCAAATCATAGCCACCCTGTATAGATAGGATTTCCAAGGATTGGTTGATGTATTTGAACTGCTGACACTGTGATTAGCAGTCCAGTGCTTATTCTACAGCACACCACTAGAACTTACATAAAGTCGTTGTTGTTAAGTGCTGTTGAATTGGTTCCAACTCATTGTGACCCTATGTAGAATTTCTGAGACTTTCAATACATGCGGGACCAGAAAGCCTCATCTTTCTTCAGAGGAGCAGCTGGTGATCTCAAACCTTGTGGTTCGCAGTCCAGTGCGTATCCTATAGCACCACACTAACAGGAGGGTTAAATTGGATTTATCAACGTGCAGTAAAGATTATTGTCTGGTTCTCATCCCCTAGGCGGCTGTGGTCCTGAGGGACATTTCCTGGCAGCAGCCCTACCCCATGGACTTCTACGCCGGCAGCTCCTTGGGGCCATGGACTGTGAACCACGGGCAGCACCGGCCCCCCAAGACTCCAGACCGGCAGGCCCTAGGGAAGGTGGGCAAGGACAACCGAGAGTCCGCCCTCTAGGCGAGGTCTTGGCTCTGGCCGCCTCCTTGTGGCCACCATGAGAAGTGCAATGGAGCGAGGTGGGGGTGGGGGAGACGTCGCAGAAGCAAGCCCTTAACCAAAGTCTGCATCCTCAGGTGCAGGAAAGATCCACGTGCCCCTCTCCAGCCACGGGCTGTGAAGGTTGCAGTTGTAGAGACGAGCAAGTGGCACCGCTCGCACCTTGAGACCGTCCCGCGACCCAGGTATTCCTCTTCTACTCTCGGGCTGTGCCCCACCCCTCTTCGTTGTCCTGGAAACGCCCGCTAGCTCCTTGGCCCGCCTTCAGGGTGGTGCCAGTCTTGGGCTCCTCCCCTCCCACGCTTCTTCCGCTCGGGGAAAGGCCGCTTCCGGTGCTTCCGCGGCGTGCTGCCTAGCGTTATGGCGGTACGGCAACCTTTACGCATCTTGTGCCTGGCGGGCTTCCGGCAGAGCGAGCGGGGCTTCCGCGAGAAGACCGGGGCGCTACGGAAGGCGCTGCGAGGCCGCGCCGAGCTCGTGTGCCTCAGCGGCCCGCACCCGGTCCCGGAAGCAGAGGGCCATGAAGGTGCAGGGCCAGACTCTGGTGAGATGAGCCCTGCCCCGGAAATGCCCACAGTCTTCACCATCTTGCCTCGACCCCTTACAACCCTTTAGCGATCTCCCGATCCTACGCCCACCTCTTATTCTGCCTGCTTCATTCTCTCCATACTCTTCATTTCTCCTATCCCAGGCCCCCCCCCCCCCGTGTTATATATACCCCACTCTGCCCTCCCAGACTTCCAGCTTCATTCATGGTTTCCCACCTTGCTTACCAATTCAGGCCAATCCATTCTCCCCCTTCATCACCCCCAACGGGCTCCTTCCCATCAGCCGCCTCTCTTTCTTGCGCTGTGATGCCCAAGTTTTCGCCATCTCCTTCATTCCCCTTAGCCTAACCCTCCTCTCCCTCAGCAGGACCCTGCCTTCCGGAGGAGCAGCCTCGAGGCTGGTGGTTCTCAGAGGAGGCAGCCGTTTTCTCTGCGCTGGAAGAGCCCACAGTGTGCAGGGGTCTGGAGGAAGCTCTGGAAACGGTAGCACAAGCCCTGAACAAGCTGGGGCCTTTTGACGGACTCCTTGGTTTCAGCCAGGGGGCAGCGTTAGCAGCCCTTGTGTGCGCCCTAGGCCAGGCCTGCGATGCCCGCTTCCCCTTGCCACGGTTCATTATCCTGGTATCTGGTTTCTGCCCCCGGGGCCTTGAACTCAAGGAGCCCATCCTGAGGGCCCCCTTGTCACTCCCATCACTCCATGTTTTTGGGGACACTGACCGAGTCATCCCCTCTCAGGAGAGTGTACAATTGGCTAGCCAATTCCCTGGAGCTGTCACCCTCAACCACTCTGGAGGACACTTTATCCCAACTGCTGCACCCCAGCGTCAGGCCTACCTCAAGTTCTTGGACCAGTTTGCATAGTGAAAAGATCAACAAATGCTTCTGTTCCTTTATAATGCCACCCAACCCCGTTGAGGCATATGACCTATCATCTCTCTCCTCCCCTACTCCTCCTAATCTGGAATTCCTATGGTTCCTCTTGCCCCTCACTATGACCAATTAAGAGACATATGTCAACTCCCAGAGCCCTGTGGTTGCATTCAAGAAAAGAAGAGAAAAAGGCCTTAGTGATCACTTTGACTTTTGATATTTAAACATGGAAAAGGCCAGTGGAACCCTGGATGAGAGGAAGGTGACATGGGAAAAGACAGGCTGGTACCACTGCGATTACAACAGAATAAAGTTGATTTGGACATGTAGCATGTTTTTCCTGGTACCCACAGAAAAACCCATTTTCTAATGGAAGTCATGGATCCCTGGTCACTCACACTACCAATGGGGTAGCACCAAGCCAGGAGGAGTTCCAGTTGTGAACTCCAGGACAGACTCCTGCATGTGTGCACATATACATCCACACATTTTTGTGGAAATCTGAAGCACAAACTGAAGGAAACTGCTAAATCAGGAAAAAGTTTATGTTAGAGAAGTTTTAGCAAGAGAACCCTGACAAGAAAGGCTCTGGGCCATGGGCCTTTTGGCTTCCTCTGGTGTGGCTCTGTGGGATAGAGCACTGGACTGCTAGGTTGCTTTGAACCACAAGGTTAGGGTTAAACCTCACCAGCCATTCCTCTGAATCCCTATACAGGGTCACTAGGAGTCGAAACATACTCCACAGCACTTAATAGTAACAACAACCTGACCCCTGAGAGTTGTGTGCCACATTGCTTTTACTGAAACCTTGGGTTTCTTGTGTTGTCTCTGTAACTGTTCTCCTTCATAATTGGTCTTGTTAAGTGCTCTTGAGTCGATTCTGACTCATCACGACTCTATAGGATTTCTAAGGAGCGACTGATGATCTTGAACTGCTAACCTTGTGATTCAAACCACCTTTGCAGTATAGTGCATTAACCCACAGTGCCACACCAAAACTCCAAATATAATCGAATAATTACTCTGAATAATAAATGACCTTAAAGGTTGGAATCTGACCTTGGGTAGAGATTACAGACAACAAAAATTGCCTCCTCATCTGATTCACCCAATAGTTTCTAGATTGACCTACTCTGTTGTGACCATAGCCAGAGGCTACAACAGCCTAGCTGTTCTGCCCTGGGGGTTGTAGTTAGTTGCTTCCTAGGCATTGTAATAATTACCTCCAGCAGCCATTTTCCCACTTCTAGTAACATACACACACACTGTTCTCAGTTTCCACCCTGTCTCTGCAAGGGCAACTATCAACCTGTTCCTTTTCTGGATGATGGCAAGGGGCCCTTTTCAGCCCTTGGGAGTTTATAACTGAGCAGGAGTTAAGGTTTAGGGGATATAGGACAAATACTCCAGACCAACCTGAGACAACTGGTACCCCCTAAAGTTAGGCAAGATTGAGTTCCTGACTACAGGTAGCAGTTGCCCAAGATAGGGTGGATAATGTCTACTGTTGGGCACATTAGCTACCCAGACACAGGCACTGTTTATAGGTTTAGGACCTTTGCAGCAGAAAGTGGGAGCAGTTTTCCTGCTATGGTCTACTCTACCCTGTCTTGGTGTTTTAGAGGGATCCCTTGGCAAAACAGGGAACTCAAATGGATTGGATTACTTGTACAGACTGGTTGGATTTGGCCATGAGCAAAAAATAAATTGAACTAGTTTATCAGTATTTACATTTTTAGACATTTCACACCTAAGTTCATTTTTTGGGTTCTTTGGAAATAATGGATCTTTAGCTGAGGACCTATATTGCTATGGTTGTTGTTAAAGTACCGAGGAGTCGGTTCCGACTCATAGTGACCCTACATAGGGTTTCTGAGGCTGTAAATCTTTATGGGAGCAGACCGCCTCATCTTTCTCCCACGGAACCGCTGGTAGTTTCGAACTACCGACCTTGAGGTTAGCAGCCCAATTAGTAACCACTACGCTACCAGAGCTCCTTATTGCTATCATAGGCTGCCTCTTTTAGCAGGGTCCCAAGAGTCCTAGTGTGGTGCTGCAGATTATTGTGCTGGCCCACAGGTCGGTGGTTCAAACCCACTAGCTGTTCCTCGGAAACGCTATATATGATTGCAACAAACTCAACAGTACTTCCCGTAAGAGGGGAAGTGACATATTCCCCAACGAGTACTACCTGAGGTGATTATGAGAAAGGAGAGTGGGGAGATTGTAGTGAAGAGGAAATTGTACCGAAGGGGGGACTGTATTGAAGGGGAAATTTTAAGCCAGGTCTTAAAATTAGAAGGGGAGAAGAAAGCAGTATTATATAAGAGTTGTTGTTGCTATGTGCCATGGCATCGGTCCCAACTCATAGCGACCCTGTACAGGGTTTCTGAGCCTGTAAATCTTTACGAGAGCAGAAAGCCTCATCTTTCTCCAACGGAACAGCTGGTAGTTTTGAACTGCTGACCTTGTGGTTCGCAGCCCAATTTGTAACCACTACACTACCAGAGAGTTGTTGTTAAGTGCCATCGAGTCAGTTCCGACCCATAGCGACCCGGTGTAGGGTTTCTGAGGAGCAGCTGGTGAGCTTAAACCGCCGACATTTAGGAGTGTAGAAAGTAGATAAGTAAAGGAAAAGATAATCTGACCTTATTTCCAATAAGTGGGCTATGTTTAGAGGGTTTGCCTTCCCCCGCCCCCCACCCCCAATACAGATTCTATGAGCTGCTTTCATGGGGATCATCAGATTCCTGGGGCCAATTCCAGACACTAAGACCCAGGAATCTGCATTTTGACAGAATGTCCCTAGTCATTCCCAAACATGGTAATATGAGAGTAAGTACAATATTACTATAAAGTCATAGAAACCTTAATAAAAAGCTAAATATCCAAATGTGAAGCTACTGTTTCTTAATACATCCTCCTCCATCTAGGTCTATACACTTCTGAAGGCAGGGCTTCTATCTCTAACCCTTCCCTGAGAAATACAGGGCTTTCTGCTCCCATAAAGACTTAAACAGTGACAATACAAGGTTGCTGTAAGTTGTGAGTGGGCATTGACTTGATGGCAGTGGGTGGGTAACCTTGATTCATTCTGCAATCCTCAATTTACACCGTCACATCAAAATGGCAGCTTTGTCATCCTCAAGACATTCAAATCATGTTCCTTTTAAATGGTCTTTGAGTTTGAGGAATAACAAATCTGAAGGGGCAAGATCGTGGCTATAAGATGGATGGGGTAAAGTTTCCCAATGAAATTCTCTTAGAACAGCCCTTACTACCCTCGAAGAATGAACAGGTGCATTGTCATGATGGAAGAAGGTTCCTAAGTGCAACTTTCTTGGTCTTTTTCTCAACAATGCAGTTTTCCACTTTCTTAAAAACTTCCTTATAATAAGCTCCCATGATTGTCCTGTGTTCCTTGTCAAGATTATTCCTTTGGAATCCCAAAAAACATCATCGTAACCTGAGCTCTCTGATTTGAATTCAATGGGCCTACCAGATCCCATGGGAGGTCACTATCTTGATTGAACCTTTTTTTGGAAGGCTTCCTAAAGAAACTAAGACAAGTGCATTACTGAGAACTTGTCTGTAGCCATTCTCTGATCGAAGAGCCATGTTTAAACACATTTGTTTGGAATAAACCCGTGCATGTATGAAGTAAAACCCTAGTAGCAATACTTTTTTACTTACCTTCATATTTGAAAAGCATTATCTTCTTGTTGCTGGTAAATATGTACTGTTTTTTAAAGTAGCATACTAGTCTCCAGTAAGCATGTGTTTAAAAAAAAAAAAAAATCCTTTTCATGTGGTTCTCGTATACCCTTCAGGAGGGGAAGGAAGTTCCAGTCAAGAATGATTGATCTAAAATGTTCAATTTTATAGTTACGCAAAATGAGGTCCAGAGAATGGAAACAGTAATAGCATGCATACTACATATTAAAATCATATTAAAACTATGCTAGACAGTGTGAAAAATAGAAGCTTTGGTGCTGCCTAATTTAATCTCACAACTTCATGAGGCATTATTGTTAACTTCCTTTAGCAACAAGCACAAAGAGGCTAAAAAAACTTGCTCAAGGTTGGATCCAGACCCAAGAGTGCATGTTGCCTTCTCCACTACACTGTAAGAGATGTGCAGAGAGAATACCACTCATTTACTACTTGTTGAGCACTTATCTGATCCTTATCTTCTTAATCCATAAAATGGGTAAGAGGAGCATATGAATTTCCAAGATACTAAACAACTAACATGGTACAGTCCTCTGGTTCTTTTCCCTCTGACTGCCTCCTCCAGATGGGTCCAAACTGCAAAAGATTTGGGCTCTTTTCAAAATAGCCCTACTCTTTCTCATTTCCACCTCTCCCTTCATCTTGGATTCTTGAGAGAGTGGGTCCCTTGGCAAAAATAAAAAACCCAGCAGCCTCCTCTTCCCTACCACCACTGTGTGTCCGAGAACTGCTCAATATGATTTTCGGTAGTTGTTTATCTGACAGAGATCACCAGGCCTTTCTTCCATGGTGCTTCTGGGTGGACTCGGATTGCCAATCTTTTGATTAGTAGCTAAACACCACCTATAGATTCCATCTTTAGCAAAGGCACTCAACAGTCCCAATCCAGAGTGTGCTCCTGCTCACCTGCTCATTCTGCATAAGTGCCCAGAGCTGGGGTCTCTGCCTAACACTACCTCCCCTTAACAAACATAGTACCTATACTACTTAACATCAGAGTATCATTTTTCAGTTTTCAAAGATTTTACTTACAGGATCCTATTGGTCTTCACAGCACATCCTCCAGGAAGGCAGAGGAGGGATTATCCTGTTTTGCAGAAGGCTCCGAAACAGAACATGTCCCCTTAAATGATGGTCAGTTGATGAAGAGCCAGTTTGAAGCTTCTGCTTCCCAGTGCACTAATCCCAGTACAGTCCATCCACAGATGTTCACTGGAGCCCAGCATCAAGTGCATCTTACTGGGGTTAAGACCTCAAGG